AGCCTTGTTGAACCTCATACGCTTGGCCTTGTCCCATCTATCAAGCCTGTCCAGATCCCTCTGTAGACCCTTCCTGCCCTCTAGCAGATCAGTGCTCCTGCCGAACTTGGTGTCATCTGCAAACTGACTGAGGGTGCGCTCAATCCCCTCGTCCAGGTCATTGATGAAGATGTTAAACAGAACTGGCCCCAATACCGAGCCCTGGGGAACACCACTTTTGACTGACTGCCAACTGGATTTAACTCCATTCAGCACCACTCTTTGGGCCTGAACGTCCAGCCAGTTTTTACCCAGTGAGGAGTACGCCCATCCAAGCCATGAGCAGTCAGTTTCTCCAGGAGAATGCAGTGGGAGACAGTGTCAAAGGCTTTACTGAAGTCTAGGTAGACAACATCCACAGCCTTTCCCTCATCCACCAAGTGGGTCACCTTGTCACAGAAGGATGTCAGGTTTGTTAAGTATGACTTGCCTGTCATAAACTCATGCTGACTGGCCTGATCACCTGGTTGTCTTGTATGTGCCGCATTGTGGCACTCAAGATGATCTGCTCCGTAACCTCACCTGGCCCTGGCACCGAGGTCAGGGCTGTAGTTCCCTGGTTCCTCCTTCTGGCCCTTCTTGTAGATGGGTGTCACATTTGCTAACCTCCAGTGAACTGGGACCTCCCTGGTTAGCCAGGACTGCTGATAAATGATGGAAAGTGGCTTGGTGAGCACTTCTCCAGCTCCCTCAGTACCAATAAAGGCTGGAGATTCTCCTTAGCCCTCCTTTTGTTGCTCATGTATTTATAGAAACATTTTTTATTGTCTTTTACAGCAGTAGCCAAATTAAGTTCTATTTGGGCTTTTGCCCTTCTCATTTTCTCCCTGCCCAACCTCATGACATCCTTGTAGTCCTCCTGAGTTGCCCGCCCCTTCTTCCAAAGGTCATAAACTCCTTTTCTTCGTGAGTCGCAACCAAAGCTCTCTGTTCAGCCAGGCTGTTTGTCTTCCCCCCTGGCTCGTCTTTTGGCACACGGGGACAACCTGCTCCTGTGCCTGTAAGATTTCCTTCCTGAGGAACGTCCAGCCTTCTTGGACCCCTTTCCCCTTCAGGGCTGCCTCCCAAGGGACTCTGTCAACCAGGCTCCTGAACAGACCAACATCTGCCCTCCGCAAGACCAAGGCAGCAGTTCTGCTGACCCCCCTCCTTACTTCTCCGAGAATTGAAGCTAGGAATAAATTCTGACAGTCTTGTGCTTTTGTCTTGATAGAAATGAATAACAAAGTTACTCACATTCTCAATTTAAGGGTAAATACAGGCAAAACTTTCACTCCTGAGAGCTGATCTGTAGGGACAATCTTCTTTCACCCATGGAGCTCTTCTGCCCACAGAGAATAGCACGTGGGATTGCGATTTTAAAGGTGAACTTCTTTATAAATGCCTGTCTACTTTGATGCTTTTTTTGAAGAGGTAGGGGACAGGAGGGGCTCATTCCTGGGCCAAAGCTTTGTGGTCAAATAAGCCCTTGATGACATTAAATGGCAGAAGAGGATGTTTGAAGTGGGGAAGACGCAGGAAAAGAAGAACATCTTCAGTTATCCAGGGTTGGGGTCTTGTCAGATCTTAGAGATAAATGGGCCCCCAAAGCTACCCAGGATACCTGTTTAATAGGCACAGTGTGCAGGAAACATGGTCCCTACTGTTTTATCAAAAGACCAGATCTAACAAAACTTATATACCAGTGTGTTGCTACTAGATATTGAACTATTCACTTTGCTGTTATTTGTAAGAGATGTAAATCAATGTCCTGACTATTTGAGGGTGTTCAAAATTGGTTTGCTCTTTTGAAAATGGAAAAGCGTTCATCTTAGTGTGCTGGCAGAGTTCTTGGCAAGATTGCTGCCTTTAGTCCTCTTAAATGCTGGCCTCACATTTGGATACAGCAGTATTTCTTCCCTCTTGGGTTTTCATCGTGTGATATTAAGAATAATTTACAGCCTGCTTAGAAAGAGGCTGCAGCATAATGACAGGGACCTGTCCTCTAAAAGGTTGCTTAGGCTGTGAAATCTTTACGTTGAATTCAGAGGAACAAGATATTTGGTTTTTTTTTAAAAAACAGTAAGTTAAAACCTTTCTTCCTCTATCATTTCCAGTGCTGTCTTTTCCACAGCTCTGGTTCCAAAGAGCTTATTTTCTGTGTTTGTGCCTGGCATGCTGTGGGTTTTTTTGAGAATAACAAGTAGTATTAACAGAGTGGGTAGACCATGTACGCAGTGCACAAAGTGCTTTGCAACCTCGTGGCTTGAAAGGTGTGAGATAGATGAGAGCTTTGAGCAGAAGTATGTGTGCGTCCAGTTGTTAACTTCTAATTGGTATTATTGCTTATGTGTGTTTGAAGTATCTCCTATGTTATCCTTGCTTTTTTGGCTGCTTCTGTGGTTTGTTTTTGATTTTTGTTTTGTTTTTTTTAAATTAACACGTTCTGGGTGTTTCTAGTTGTTTGCCCTGTAACTTGACTGAACTTAATTAAAAAAAGTGCACGTGAGAGAGGAAAAGAAGCACTGTTTGATCTCCCTGATGTTCATTACCTAAAACCTGATGTCATTCTCCATTCTGATGTGTGATGACCTCACAGGATCAATTCTCACCTCGCTTTTAGCTGGTGGTGTTGCTGGTGCTCTAGGTTGACATGCAAGAGCGTGTGAAGGGTGAGTTTGGTTTGAGCTAGCGGTGCCGTGTTTGGGGTTATACTGACGGAAGGAAACAATCTCTGCTGTGGAGGTTGGTGTAAGTTGACACTGAAATAAGTGTTATCTGTTTATCATGATGCTATTTATGAAGTGGCACCATACGGGCTCTTTGGGACATTGTTTTCTTGATCTTGTGCTAACTTAGTGGTGCTGATGCTCTTCTGTTCAGAGAATCATAGCTTTAGAGAGCTATAGGGCTGCATGTTACTTGTGACATGCGTTTTTTCATTTCTGCCATGTCATTTAAATCCTTCTGGTGGATCTTTTGACATTTATTCAGGTTCTTGGATAAGTTTTGATTTAAACAAAAAATCTGTTGAGCAGTTGAAACCACGAGAGTCATCTGTCATCTAACAGCCCTTATCAGAGTTCGGTACCAGTACGATGAAACAGCTGTTAGGTTTTAATTTCTGTGCAAGGCTATGATACGGTGGATGGCACAGCTTCAGCCGTATTTTTTAGTGCCATTTGTCCATGTACTGCCACTCCGGCTGTTAACAAGCTGTGTGACTGTAGATCTTCCAAGATGCTTTAGTTGAGTTTACCTTGAAGACACTTACTTCACGTAAGTGTTTGAATATATTTGTTAAATGTTTCACCCAGTCTTTAACAGAGACATGCTTTTGTTGTTGCTGGGTGTTGTCTGTGAATTAAGAAATGTTGCTTAATGAACATACTTAAAACAAGCATAGTACCTCTTGTTTTTCTCTTCCTTGTCGCTTAGCAACAGAATTTCTTCCTCTGCAATCCCAGTTTCTTCAGGAGGACTGCATCCACAATATCCTCTCTAATTCTTCTCCTTTTTCCTTTCTAGAAGCCTTGCGAAAAGATTTTGAGTAACTTCATCAACCCCTTGATAGACATAATAAAGCAGAATAGGATAACATCAAACAATCATTCACTTTGGCAGTGTGAACTTTGCTGAATTCATCAGAAGTCTGTTAAGCTTGATATGGTTTATAATGAAAATTCCTCTCTTGTGAAGAATATAGTGAAGAAAAAAAGCTGGGTTAGAAATTTAGGGCTTTTAGCTCCTTGAAACACATTCAAGGGATTTGTAGTGATATAATACCTTCTCATTTATGAATATCTTGATTGCACCAGGCTTCCTCTGTTTCCTAACTAATATGTAACTTACACCGTGACCTCTGTTTCTAAATCAATCAAATGTGCAGGCTGTTGTATTTATGTATAGGGAAGCCCCCAAGCAAACAGAAATATTCACTGCCTCCCCCCAGAATCTTGAGTATTGCTGGTTTCCTTGTTTACTTCTTGGTTGCTCAAAGTGGTGGGAGTTCTGTGGAGGCAAAGAAGTTTATATGCTTCTTCTGTATGGTGCTAAGTGTTGGTTTTAATAGTTTAAATCTTGGATTATGCCTTTTTAAATCTATTCCAGTGCGAGAAACAAGCCTTCTGGAAATTAAAGAAGATGCCGAACTGGATCCAGAGGAGAACAGCACTGTCTTCATGGGCATACTCATCAAAGGGCTGGCCAAGCTGAAAAAAATCCCTGAAACGGTGAAAGCCATCCAGGATCGCTTAGAACAGGAGCTCAAGCAGATTGTAAAGCGGTCCACAACCCAGGTGGCAGACAATGGTTACCAGAGAGGGGAGAATCTTTCCCAGGAAAATCAGCCTAGGTAAGGATACTTCAACCACTGAATCTTGATTGCTGCAAAAAGAAGTCTGGGGAAGGGTGTCTTATCTGTTAATTGCCATTTAAAGGAATGACAGTAATGTTTTTGCAGTAGCAGAGATCTGAAATGGTAAAATTTTCAGAAATGCCTGTGTCTCACTGAAAGGCTGATGTGCCTTGAACACATGAAAGGCTTGGGAATTTAAGACATGTATTCAGAAAGCGGAGGCATTGTTGCTTCTCAGCTAAGGCTGCGGGAAAAGGAGATGCTTCCTTCTGTGCATGGCCCTAGAAGAGAATCTTCTGGCTAAACAGGTGTTTGAAATGCAGATTTGAAGGTGGAAGCACAGTAGAAACCAGAATTCTTTAACTAGCAAGAGGTGCATTATGTTAAGTGCTTGATTTTATTTTTTTTTTAACCTAACCTTTCGTTTTAAGCAGCTTTACAATGCTCTCTCAGATTGCTGGTATGTATGGTGTAAAGAACACTTGGGACCAAAGCAAATACTATCTTGTTGTGTTGCACTGAATCATGGATTTACACTGGTGCTGATGCCAAAGAAATTTTTAAGTTCCTACGTAATGTGACTTGAAAAGAGAAGATTCAGCTCAGTCATTTATTTCAGGTGTAGCAGAGTCCAGTTAAGCTGATGCGGGTGCAAAGCTTTGAAAACATGTATGGAACTAACTATATCAGTAAATATATGGCCAAGTTTCTAATTGGTTTGCAGCCCCATTTACATTAATAGTTCTCGGTTGGCTTCCACACCTTGCTATGTTTCTGCCATTCTTCAGAATTCACTGGAATCGTTCTTTGGAAAATAGGACTCCATAAAGGCTAGCTGTCACTTCTGACTGAAATATTAATTTGTGATGCTGCACATTGTAATGATCCCTGTCCAAAGGGAATTAATAGTAGAAAAGAAAAATGAAGACGAAAATGTGTATCTTTATGAGATGTAATATTTGTAGTGGAAAATCACTCCCAAGGAAAGCTTTAGATTCATAAAGACTTCTTTTTTAATTCCTGTGATTATTATTGCTGTGGAAACAATTATGTTTTGAAGAATTTGTAGAGTTATGGTGCCAATAACTTGGTGAAATTACAGTGGTCTTTTTGGGTTGGTCAGAAGGCAGAATTTTAGTTTCTGATGCCAAGAGGAAGCGTAGCATATGCTTGATACTTGTTTTATGAAGCAGTTTTGAGAGGTTGTATGGCTACTCGTTGTCCATTGAAATTGTAAATTGAATCAGATCATATTTTAATGACATTAATCTGCTCAAAGGGTTGAGTAAGGTACAAAAAAGTTTAATGGGTTTTGGCACGTGTTTAATAGGAGTTTGTGAGCCTTTAAGATGCTTATATTCTAGAGCTATGGAAAGTGTCTTGAATTCTTGTTGAATAAGGAGATAATTAGAACTGATTCTAAACCTAAATCGCATGTGAAGTTTACAGCAAGCAGGTGAATTCATTTACATTAAAAAGAATAAATTATAGTACGGAAAGGTATACCACCCCTTAAATTAGCTACAGTTTTAAATCAAAACTAAACAACTTTCCTGCTGTCAAGAAAGAAAGAAATCTGAACAACAAGGTCCTGCTATTTCAAGAGAGCTCTGCGAGACCCCAAACCAGAGCATGATGCAGCGCCCAAAACTGCTTAACTATTCATTAGGCTGTCAGCCACAATGCTTACTTGACCTCAGGATTCAGTGAGTAAAATGTTTTTCACTTCACCTTAAAACTAGTCACACTTGGATGCCTCTTAGTCTCTATCACTGAGCTCAGTGCCTGTATTCAACTACTGTACTTTAAATGGTATCCATAAAAATTCTCACTTCTGGCAAATAAAGTGACTAATAAGATGACAGAGAGGCCTGCGGGGTCTGAGGCCATCGATTGAGCCTTCTGCTGGACAAGTTCCCAGCGGCTCCTTTGGTATGCACACAACAAGTTATATGCATTTCTTCATCCCTGTGTGGTGGCTCTCAAAGATTGGCTCTTATTTTTTCCGTGTAAGAAGGGTGGCATTTCCCTTCACTTGAGGATGAGACTGGTAACCTGCTTGTGGGGGTTCTGGTGTAATTCCTGTTGAGACCCCATGTAACAATTATGTAGAGCCCTCATTATAAAAGAGAGAAATAATTTCTAGAACCTGACCAGAAAAATTCCAGATCTGATAACAGCCACTGAGTTTGAAGAGATTCTGATCTCGTTCTTCTTATTTTTAAATTTTGGATACCTTTTGCTTCTTTATCTAGTAAGCTCTTCCATATCGGTTTGTGTGGCCACCTTTAACATTTCTGTATAAAAACATTATTTATTGCTCCCAAATTTTTAAGACTGAGGGCTTTTAATTTTTTTTTTTTCTTATGACACTGAAGCAACTAGCTCCCAGAGAGTAATGATGTCTCTCATACACCTGTGGGTGCTCTCTTCAAAGAGCCAACAGGCAGTGGGCTCTTGGGTCAGCTCCTCAGAACTTCATGAAGTCTGTTTTCTCACATGGAAGTCCTGTAGGCCCTGTAAACCTGCCCAGGGACAAGTCTTGTCCATGCTGTACTAGATGTTGTGTACCAGGCTTGTTAATAAGCACATGCACAAGAGCGAGCAGTGATTGCATTGTTGATAATGTGTGACCCGTTCTGTCATGGGTGCATTGTCCTTGGCCTTTGGTTTGAGCACTCCGCAGTCTAGCTGAACAGAGTTGGTGTGAAACTGGAAAGACTCCTTTATTGAAGATGACGCTAGCCCTCCTAAGGACCTCCATATAATGGCAGAAGTATATTTTTCACCAGTGGGGTCACAAAGGAAGGACTTTTATGGCTCTGTGATACAACTGATTCTGAAGTTTCCTAAAACATGCAACATGGATGCAGTCATGTAGGATAACAGACTTAGGAGAGACTTAACTAGGTGGAACGTCTTTGGCCGTAAGATACTTTACTATGAATATAAACCCTCTTTACTGATGTGCATTTACTGCCATGAAATGTGAATGGATGAAGACAGTAAAACCTGATAAGGGGCAGCAGCAGGTTCCTCACAGTTCCTTGTCACTGGTAGAAGATAATTTTGAAAACTATGCTTGAATCTAGTTGCAGCTGACCTCAGTGTTAATTTAAGTGGACTCTTTTTTTATGGTCTAGGTGAGTTCTCTGAAGTTTTTAGTTATCTGTGCTTGGAACAAGTTTATGAAAAAGGGCTTAAATACAGGAATTGCCATTGCCTTATCCCTAATTAGTGGCTCATTAGAGCATACCTTGTACCTTCATGCTTAGCAAGATGTATCTTGGGTTGTGGAGGACAAAGTATCATAGAAGAGGCCATGTTGTGTTAGCTTGGGGTACTGCCCGCTACATGAACCTGTGGCTCTCTTCTGAGTTATGGAAGATTGTTGACTTTAGAATAATAATAATCTGGGCGCATGCCTACTTGAGGGCCAGATTTATGGGACAAGATTTTGGTAAGGATACATTGAAAGTCTGGTCCAGGAGGAGATGGTGTATTGACAATTTTGCTACTAAATCCCGTTGATAGGATTCAATGCACTTTTCCC